ATGGGGGTATGTTAAGGCACAATATGCACCTTATGAGATACCCTGGAGTGTCTACTTTTACAAATGGTAGGCCTTTGTGGGGTTTTTTGAACAGTCAAACTGTTATAATACCCCAAATGGAAGCTAAGGCTCATTAAATCCATCTCTCAAAATTCTACTGTGAATACTGTAAAGGACAGGTCTCCTATATGGCACTGTAGCTTCACGAAATAGTGCCAAAGACATTCATATGGGGTGTCATTTTACTCAGAAGACTTAGCTGAGCATAATTTGGGGGGTTTGAACTTAGTGGCACATATGAAATATACAAAACGCCCAGCAAAAATGCAATCCGTATGTAAAAAATGCACAAAATTTTTTTTTACCACATACTTTGGCATATATTGGTGAAAAAATGGGGGCATGTTAAGGCACAATATGCACCTTATAAGATACCCTGGAGTGTCTACTTTTACAAATGGTAGGCCTTTGTGGGGTTTTTTTGAACAGTCAAACTGTTATAATACCCCAAATGGAAGCTAAGGCTCATTAAATTCATCTCTCAAAATTCTACTGTGAATACTGAAAAGGACAGGTATCCTGTATGGCACTGTAACTTCACGAAATAGTGCAAAAGACATACAATGGGGGTGTCATTTTACTCAGCAGATGTAACTGAACACAAAATAAAACTTTGTACAGGAATAGCACGCACCAACTTTACAAAATATACACGAGAATTTCTCTGTTATAAGTTTGTGTGCCAAAAACCAAAAAGAACACAATTTTACTCCAATATTTAGCAGAGGTTGGCGGTAATATGGCTACGTAGAAAGTGTCAAAACAACCTTAGGTAAATAGCCCGTGATGTCTACTTTATATAAATATATACTTTTGTGTGGCAATTTTGTTTTCTTTTATGGCTATTAAGCTTACAAGACAAACATACCAAATTCTAAAATCGCTCCACATTAAAATTTTATTTTACTCCTTGTGCTTTGTGACCTGTAACTACCAAAAAAAACTTAAAATCCCAGACACATTATATATTCTGTAAATCAGAACAAATAAATAAATTTATTTTTAATTACTTTCCTTAACCTGCACTAATTATGCACACATTATTATTGCAAAAACTGTAAAAAAAACAATATTTTTCATTTTTTTTGCATTTTTCTGTATTTTTTTTATAATAAGTAAGCATTTATATATATATATATATATATGTTATATCAAATTAAAGCCCTTTCTGTCCTTTAAAAAACAGTATATAATATGTGTCGGTGCAATAAATGAGAGAGATGCAAATTGCAGTTGAACGCAAACAGCAAGAAAATGCAAAAATTGCTTGTGTCATTAAGCGTAAGTCAAGCTTCTGAAGCTGTGTCCTTAAGGGGTTAATGACAGACTTTAGCACTCTAATATTAGTATGCTTGATTACCTCAGGTTTTCTCTTCTTTTGTTCCTTCATGAATTGAGGCTGCTCTACTTATGACTGTGGAAACCTAGAAAATCCAGCTGGTCTGCTCACCAGACACACATAACCATACACACATGTAGCCACTAGAATCTTGTGAAAGGATGAGCATTGTGAGGTCACCATTATATATGTGAACACTTGCTCACAATGAACACTTGCTCACACTGAAGATTTTAGAGTTGTATGAGTGTGGTCAATTTTTACATAATTCACAATTTAGAAATATAATCCAATGTACTGGTATTCATGTAGTTGCCAAAAACTTTGTGAAAATACCATAAACAATAAATAGGTGAAATGCATGTAGAAAAATTAAATATATACAAAGCATTATATCAAACATATCACAAACCCCAATAATTGTCAGAATAAGAGAGCAAAATGCTGTGTGTCTTGAGAACTACCAATAGTCAGCTGAACTGATAGAAGTATAAAATTGTAGATTAAATCTAATAATAATTCTCATAGGCAGATGACCACAAGTTCAAAATGTTTTCAGCATTATATTTGGAATTATTTAGTATAAAGGTTCACTTACAACCAGGAGGGGCACTGCAAAGGTTTCAGTCCAATCTCAGCCAGGGAGCTGTAGTGGTTATTGTGCCATGATTGTTCCTTTAAAAATAATCTACAAGTGCCCCACCTGAGGTTAGGTCCTGGATCAGCCTCAGAGCCCAGCCTAATTGAACCAGCGACTCTGAGCTTGTGACACTCTGTCACTATGCAGAATCCTGACCAGAAGTAGCACAAGGAAGTGAGTACTATTCTTATCACATGGACCAGACTTTACCACACTGCACCACCAATGTAATGGGGCAGGCGCAACATGAGTGGTAGTCAGATTTATTTTGCCCTCAATTTTATCCAGAGAAATACTGCTGGAAGTAACTCAGGGTAGAACCTGCCCTTGTGCCCCCTTTATATCTGGCCCTGCACATAATATGAACCTACAATCTTTCATTGCACTAAATCTAATTTCAATGTCTTTCCAGTTTGAACTTTTTCATAATTCTAGTGGTTGTGGTGGTGTGGAGTGTCATCCATCTTTGTTTTGGTGTTGTAGAATGTAGTACATATGTATAGTGGACTGATACAAGTTGTAGATCATCACTGTTTATGTCATTTGTCTCACAGTTATATTAATCATATATAATCACATTAACCTTCCATGTTGCAGACTATCTCAAGCTCGGTGTAAAACATTCCTGTAGTGCTGAATTTATTTAGCTTGGGATATGTACCAAGTGAGAAAATTATTAATTTCACTGGTATTCAGCCTTTAGCTTTTATAATATTTTTTTCACAGTGGAAAAAAATGATACTTGATATATATTCCAAAATTGCATAATGATCCAAGTTATCTATTTCACATGAAGATTAATGGGAAAATACACTGAATGAACTAGGTATAGCGACTAATATATGTTCTGTACTTTGGATCTCATTTTACTCATTATACTTGTACTGAAAAAATCCCATGTGAGAAATGATATGCTGTGTTCTCGTGTTCTTTGTGAGCAGAAATAAAATAAACTAGAAATAGGCAGGTACATAATGCACAACTGTATCACTTAAGATGTACTTTGTGTTTATTATAATAAGTGATAAAAACATAGCTATATTTTTCAGCATGAAAAGCTAAATTATGTTTCCTAATAGGTTCATTTACAATGACGGGTATTCTTTAAGATGTCTATTAAACTGATTGTTTGCAGATATAAAAGCATCTTTCAGAAGCACAGCCATTCTATTATAAACATTGTAATTAACTATGTAAGGGAATGTTTTATGTGTCATTTAGGAATAAAAAAGGCAAAAAGCAGAAAACATTAACTTGCTAATCTGATAATTATTGGGCCATTAAAATGAACGGAGATTAGTAGACACCCTTACCTATTATTATATCATTTTTATTTATTTTTTAAATATAATTCTTAATTTTTGCCACAGGCAGGGTAATGGTATTCACAACATGTAATACAATTGTCAAAACATGACAATGGCTTGTGACATGCAGTCAAACGTAATGTTAACTGTGTTTACTGTTTTTTTATTTTTAATTAGAGTACAGAGCCACGCTGATGCACTTCGTATAGTTGTTATAAGAAGCAGGTTTCGTTTAAAGGCACGGCAATGGTCAATATAGCAAACATAACAAGAAACATTTTTAAAAAGTGAGTATGGACTTAAATATAGGGGATGCGGTGTGATCCATAATGGCAGCTCCATATGTTGGAGGAAAGTGAGAGATTATTTGTGCAGAGCTGGGAGTTGGGGGTAGTATGGGAGCTAGCGTAACCAGGTTTTTCCCGGTCATGAGCCAGGAAGGCCACAAGAGACTTGTAATATTGTTTCACACCTACAACACTTGTTACACAGATATAAGTGATAGAAAACAAATTGATATTTTCTACACTAGAAACTACCAGATAACAAGCTGCTATATTTAAACCAGTGATCAATCGCTAAGAGGTACTTCAACAATATTGTAATTCTGGGGCAATACCCTCACAAGTCAAACTGAGAGGTCAGTTTATAGGGAAAACTGTTGCCTGAATACAATTCTAAAACAATTTCCATATGTCCTTTGCAGACTTTACATGCTGGAAAAACACAGGTGCCAACTGCTGTGACTTTCTGCAGTGTGCATATCGGCAAGGAGGGCAGGGTTGAGGAGTGGGTGGAAGATGATGTGGAGGATGATGAGGTCCTAGACCCCACATGGAATCAAGGTCATGTGAGTGACGTGTGCAGTTTAGAGGAAGAGGCGCTGGTCGCACAGAGGCACCAGCACAGCATAAGAGGGAGCAGGGTGCAAAAGCGGAGGGGCCATCCCCTAGCGCTCGTCGACATGTATTAGCTCGAGAATTACCAGTTATCCAAGTAATAGATGTAGCGATCAAAGGATCCATAATAGACTTGAGCGAACCCAAACTGCAAAGTTCGGGATCGTACCAGATTTAACGTTCCATTCGTAGTTTCACAGTGAGGTGCGCGGTCCGGTGACCAGGACCCAGACACTGTCTGGGCAGCGGTTGGACAACCGGGAACCAGTATGCCTGATGTTGAAGTTAGGAGTCACAGTGTGGAATGGATTAACAGGGTCTGGTGCAGGGTAACCGCACGCCCCCTGGTGTTGAGCACCAGCGTTTGTGCGGCCACATACCAGGACCCTGAATACTTGATACCAGAAGCCATCACCAGACTGATCGGCAACTTGGAACAGGATGTGACATTCACTGTAGCGGTTGTGTGCACTTTTGGAGTTGTCACCCTGCTGCTGCTCGCCTGTCTGCGCTGCAGAGTAAGTTTGGCCTTCACGCTCACTGCCTCATGAGACTGTGCGAGCAGCAGCAGGCGATAGTGGAGTTTTAGCTGCAGCACGCACGGATCAGTGGTTCTGCACCAGACTTCCCTCCAATTGATCAAGAGTTAAAGGATTTCAAGTGGACTCATTACAATTATAGGGCCTCTAAAGAGTCCTGTATTGTTATTTGTCGTCGCTACCTTCCCGCGCGGGAGTGGGTCATTTGCATGCCTGCTGCCTTCCTTGCATGTGGTAGCAGTTTCCCAGGGTCCCTGTATGGAATGGAACCCTGATTCCCCGTTACCCGTGGTCACCATGGTAGGCGCACAAACTGGCATTGAAAGTTGAAATGGATGACATCCGCATGCAAAGTCACCGCCACGGGGATGTGCGATTTGTCCGAGGTTCTCTAGAGTCAACAAAGTTCCTGCGCAACTATAATGTCAACAGCTACTCTGCGGAACAGAGTTGTCTTTTTTTATATGCATGGGGGCTACCCCAATTAATATATATAAATATATAAACAGTGTTGGCTACCTCATCCTCCTCCTCCACCGCCACGGTCACCGCCTCCTCAACCTATGGGTCACTAATATAAACTAGGTACACATTAGCAGAGGCTTGTGAAGGCCTTTTCTTCATGCATTCTCCATGACATTATAGTTGCGCAGAAACTTTGTTGACTCTAGAGAACCTCGGGCAAATCGCACATCCCCGTGGCGGCGACTCTGCATGCGGATGTCATCCATATCAACTTTCGATGTCAGTTTGTGCGCCTACCATGGTGACCACAGGTAACGGGGAATCAGGGTTCCATTCCGTACAGGGACCCTGAGAAACGGCTACCACATGCAAGGAAGGTTGCAGACGCGCATATGACCCACTCGCGACGCGGGAAGGTAGTGACGACAAATAACAATACAGGACTCTTTAGAGGCCCTATAATTGTAATGAGTCCACTTGAAATCCTTTAACTCTTGATCAATTGGAGGGAAGTCTGGTGCAGAGCCACTGACCCGTGCGTGCTGCAGCTGAAACTCCACTATCGCCTGCTGCTGCTCGCACAGTCTCATGAGGCAGTGAGCGGGAAGTCCAAACTCCTGGTCACCGGACTGCCCACCTCACTGTGAAACTATGAATGGATCGTTAAATCTTTGCAGTTCGGGTTCGCTGAAGTCTATTATGGATCCTTTGATCGCTACATCTATTACTTGGATAACTGGTAATTCTCGAGCTAATTCATGTCGACGAGCGCTAGGGGACGGCCCCTCCGCTTTTGCACCCTGCTCCCTCTTATGCTGTGCTGGTTCCTCTGTGCGATCAGCGCCTCTTCCTCCAAACTGCACACGTCACTCACATGACCTTGATTCCATGTGGGTCTAGGACCTCATCATCCTCCACATCATCTTCCACCCACTCCTCAACCCTGCCTTCCTTGCCGGTATGCACACTGCAGAAAGCCACAGCAGTTGGCACCTGTGTTTTTCCAGCATGTAAAGTCTGCAAAGGACATATGGAAATTGTTTTAGAATTGTATCCAGGCAACAGTTTTCCCTATAAACTGACCTCTCAGTGTGACTTGTGAGGGTATTGCCCCAGAATTACAATATTGTTTAAGTACCTCTTAGCTATTGATCACTGGTTTAAATATAGCAGCTTGTTATCTGGTAGTTTCTAGTGTAGAAAATATCAATCTGTTTTCTATCACTTAGATCTGTGTAACAAGTGTTGTAGGTGTGAAACAATATTACAAGTGACTGATATAGTAAATCTGAATCAAAGTTCCATTTGCAAAAAAAAATTTCGCCCATCTTCTGTGAGTTATTGCATTTTTAAGATGTAGACTTATTGTATCACACTAGCAATGCATAGGTAGATTGTCTGGCACGTTGTTTTGGTGTTTGGTTTTTATTAATGCTTCTGTATATGAAGCGATCACAATAACACTTATTGTGACAAACTGCCATTTGCCACAGGGCATTAGAGAGGACTGATTGCCAGCCTCTTGCCACATGACTATGGCCCCTGGCATGTATTGCCCTTTAAGGAACTGATTTGGGCATAATGGATTTTTATAATGCTGTTTCTTGCCCTTTAATTACTTTGGAGCAGTGTTGCAAATTTAAATTGGCACTTCGGATACAGCCGAAGTGCCGAAGTAGTCGAAGTGGCCCCCATTCGACAAACGAACACAGCGGCCATTTTAACTAATTCGAACGCGTACCTTCTTCTCCACTTCGACATTGCGGCTGGAGACTAAGTCCCATTCGAAGATTCGAACGCTCAATCGAATGAGACTTAGTAATTTTTTTAGTGTAAAATAGACCGACCACTCAGCCCAAATCCGTGGAACTGTTTTGGGCATGAAAATGTGCTTGAGGTCAATCATAAAGGACTCCCAGGTAACTTTTGATCTACTGGACAAATTTTTATGATTTTCAAGTATATTGATATTTAAAGGACGCTGATTTTTTTTTTTTTTAAATATCGGCTTCTTTCGCCCCATCATTAGAGAAGCACTTCTGGCTCTGTCTGGGGCACCTTGTGCCATGGTAAGTGGTCTTTTTCTGGCTTTTTGTGTGCCTTGCCGTCAGAGCGCCTTGCTCGATCGAGAGCTGAAATTTTTTTAACTTCATTCCTTAAATACCCTTCTATGTTTTTTCAATCTTCTGACAAGCAGTTTCTTAGCCGTTAGTCTACCCTTACCATTTTCATTAACTTCCATTTTGGAAGCTCGTTGAGATCCAATTAGAGCAAAGCAATAATTATCTATGAGAATAATTACTAATGAATATTCTTGTTCAGTATTTACAGATGAAAATTAAGGAAAGGGGGAAAAAGGACAAATGAGTCATTGGTTACATGTGAGTTAAAGAGGAAGAGGTTCTATTTCAACTGTCAAAAGTAAAGAGAAATAAGTCAATGGGACCTGATGGAATACACCCAAAGTTATTAAAAGAGTTTAATGGTGTACTAGCAAAACCATTAACAGATTTATTTAACCAATCATTGTTAACAAGAGTGGTGCCAGAAGATTGGAAGTTAGCGAATGTTGTACCCATTCACAAGAAAGGTAGTAGGGAGGAGTCAGGAAACTATAGGCCAGTAAGCCTTACTTCAGTAGTAGGGAAAGTAATGGAAACCATGTTAAAGGATAGGATTGTTGAACATCTAAAATCACATGGATTTCCAGATCAGAGAAAACATAGGTTTACGTCAGGGAGATCATGCCAAACTAACTTATTGATTTTTTTTTGATAGGGTAACTAAAATAATAGATCAGGGTGGTGCAGTAGACATTGCTTACCTAGATTTCATTAAGGCTTTTGACACTGTTGCACATAGAAGGCTTATCAATAATCTGCAATCTTTAAGTTTGGATTCCAATATTGTTGAATGGGTAAGGCAGTGGCTGAGTGACATGGTCTTGTCACCAGTGGGGTACCTCAGGGATCTGTACTTGGACCCATTTTCTTTAATATTTTTATTAGTGATATTGCAGAAGGTCTTGATGGTAAGGTATGTATTTTTGCTGATGATACTAAGATATGTAACAGGGTTTATGTTCCAGGAGGAATAAGCCAAATGGCAAATGATTTAGGTAAACTAGAAAAATGGTCAGAGTTGTGGCAACTGACATTTAATGTGGATAAGTGCAAGATAATGCATCTTGGACATAAAAACCCAAGGGCAGATTTCAAAATATTTGATAGCGTCCTAACATCAACATCTGAGGAAAAGGGTTTAGGGGAAATTATTTCTGATGACTTAAAGGTAGGCAGACAATGTAATATAGCAGCAGGAAATACTAGCAGAATGCTTGGTTGTATAAGGAGTGGTATTAGCAGTAGAAAGAGGGAAGTGCTCGAGCCATTGTACAAAACACTGGTGAGACCTCACTTGGAGTATTGTACGCTGTATTGGAGACCGTATCTCCAGAAGGATATTGATACTTTAGAAAGAGTTCAGAGAAGAGCTACTAAACTGGTTCATGGATTGCAGGATAAAACTTACAGGGAAAGTTTAAAGGAGCTTAACTGTATTGCTTGGAGGAAAGACGAGATAGGGGGATATGATAGAAACATTTAAATACATAAAGGGAATCACAGTAAAGGAGGAGACTATATTTAAAAGAAGAAAAACTACCACAATAAGAGGACATAGTCTTAAATTAGAAGGGCAAAGGTTTAGAAATAATATCAGGAAGTATTACTTTACTGAGAGGGTAATGAATGCATGGATTCGCCTTCCAGCTAAAGTAGTAGAGGTTAACACAGTAAAGGAGTTTAAGCATGCGTGGGATAGGCATAAGGTTATCCTAACTATAAGATAAGGCTAGGGACTAATGAAAGTATTAAGAAAATTGGGCAGACTAGATGGGCCGAATGGTTCTTATCTGCCGTCACATTCTATGTTTCTATAACAACTATTACACTGAACTAAGTCTGACATTTTAATTAGGTGAGTAATTTAAATCAAACACATCTTAACTTTTTTTGTCTTCCTGTATACTTCAGATTACCTCCAGCTTATCGCCAGAATAACTCCAATCACACACTTAGAAGCAGCACATAGATGTAGCAACCAAGCTATATTAGCCAATTTAATGACCACAACCCTTGTATAATTCCTAAAAGAACCACCCACAAGGAATGTTTAACACCTGGGTGGGCATATGCTTATTTGCAAACAACAGCTAATTAACCAACAATCAATAGCAAGTGCCTAGCTAATCAAATCAAATGCCTTACCAATTACCAACAGGAAATCAAACCTTGTGCAATCAGTAACCTTTTCAATGATAATCCATCCTGTTGTTTTACAAAATGACCTACTGATAACCCAAAAGTCAGATGAAACTCAATTTATTTAAAACCAATGTATTAAGTCTAATATACACCCAATTTACAAATTAAAAAACTGTTAGGTTTTCTGTTTTGTTTTCTAGTGAGATGCTGGTTTTACCAAAACTATGTTGTATTGGGAATTATTTCCCAGGATAAGACCAAAAAAATACTAAGCATCAAATTGTGGCTTATACTACATACTTTTCCTTAAATCCACAGGTGACAGTCAAATTTCTTTTTTGCTAAATTATGTTCCCCACATATTTCATTTCAATCATAATCCACCCTGTTGTTTTACCAAATGAGAAATTCCTCATTGTAGCATTCATTATCATCTGAAGAATAAAGAGGGCTTAGGGCTATCCCATTGTAAATGGTAACCTACGGATAAACCAGACTAGATAATAAATTAATCATCCCCCATCCACCCATCTGTAGCTTTCCACATTAAAAAAATAATGATTCTTAAAATAGCCACACATAAACACAGAGCTCATTTAATATAAAGATTTAAAACAAGCTTTTTGTGTGAAAATCACAATGCAGGCTGTCATGGTGAAATCAAACTATGTGAATTATTCAAATTATTAATGGTCATGGTGCTCTCTTTAATGATAAGTATCACATTTGTTTGCTGAAGCATCATTTCATTGTTACAGGTGCTGTAACTGATTATATTGTTATTGAATGGTTTCATTTTCTGGTCTTTATTGTTTTGTGTTTAAGAAATGACTGCAGTCCATCATTTCTGACAGTGTTGCACTGTGAGTGCGCATTGCCCAGGTTTTAGATAGCTGCTATAATTGGTATTCGTTCAGCTATTTTATTATACTTCTAAAGAAAGTAACTTAATTTCTACTGGATGAAGGTAGAAACTTCTGTAAAGCCATACAACGCATGTGCAGATGGGAAGTAGCTGCAAAATGTAAATGCATGGCAATGTACAAGACATGTAGCAAACCAATTTAAACCAAGAATAACTGTATGCAACTGTATGTTACGGTCACTACACAA